TATATATATATATATATTGTACATGCATTGTATATATTATATATATTGATGGTAAGTATCTGTATACAAATAAGTTGCAGCAGCACAGCAGCAGCAGCAGCAGCTGCTGCTGCTGCTGTTGCTGCTGCAGCTAGAAGAAACAATTAAAATATACTCATAGACTCTCCCTCCCCCTAAGGAGATAATAACATTGCTGCTAGATGCATGCATGCTGCTGCTGCTGCTGCATGCATGCATGCATGCATAGGAAACAGGGGAAATAAATTTGGGGCTGCATGCAGCAGCAGAGGCGCTCCTTGCGGCAAACGCTATATAACATAAAACTATATATACATGCATGCATGCATGCAAATGCATGCATGCATGCAAATGCATGCATGCATGCAAATGCATGCATGCATGCAAATGCATGCATTTGCGATTGAGGTTCTATAATATAATTTCCTCAAATCGCCCAAAAACCCTAAACCCTAAACCCTAAACCCTAAACCCTAAACCCTAAACCCTAAACCCTAAACCCTTTTACCAAAGATGGCTGTGCCAACCCTAACTTGTGTACTTCCGTGATTAATTGCCATCTGCATATCTCCAGACATACCCATACTTAATTCTATTTCTTCCCCAAATAAATAAATAAATAAATAAATAAATAAATAAATAAATAAATAAATAAATAAATAAATAAATAAATAAATTAAGGATGGAGAATAAGCAGATATACCCACAAAAAAAGAGGGAGAAAAAAAGAAATTAAATATATATACATATAAATATACATACAAATAACGATTTATTTATTTATTTATATTAATTAATTAATTATTTTAATTAATTAATTAATTAATTAATTAATTAATTAATTTATTTATTTATTTATTTATTTATTTACCTGTTAGGTAGGGTTTAATTTCTTGATGATTTTTTATAAAATCTCTTAATTCCTTCGTCCTTATAAATGATTCTTCTGCTTCCTTCTTATCAGCAGGACTGCATGCAGCAGCAGCAGCAGCAGCAGCAGCAGCAGCAGCAGCAATAAAATATACAATTAGGCATGCATGCATGCAACAGCAGCAGCAGGAATAGCAGCAGCAAGAGAGCAGCAACAGGAAGACGAGCAGCAACAGCAACACCAACAGCAGCAACACTAGCACCACCAGCAACAACACAAGCAGCAGCAACTGCAGCAGCAGCAGCAACAGCAGCAACAGCAGCAGCAGCAGCAGCAGCAGACTAACGCAACAAGCATAAATCCCTTAAAATGTAAATGAGGACAAAGACGGAAAAGAAAAAGAATTAAAGAAATTATTTCTTCTTTTTCTTTTATTCCCCTCTTATTCTCATCCCCTAAGGGATTTACCTATAAATAAATAAATAAATAAATAAATAAATTAATTAATTAATTAATTAATATATTTAATTATTTATTTATTTATTTATTTTATTTTATTTATTTAAAAAAGAAAAAAAAAATATTAAAAATTCATGAAAATATAATTTTGCTGCTGCTGCTGCTGCTGCTGCTGCTGTTGCTGCTGCTGCTGTTGCTGCTGCTGCTGCTATTGCTGGTACTTACTTGTATTAATACATTAATATGTTTATCTGCTGCTGCTGCTTCTTGTTGTATTTTTTCTGCTAATTTAATTGAATCAAGAGAATCAATTGAATATAAATTTTTTACTTCTTTTATTAATTTACTAACTTTGTTTGTTTGTAGACCACCTATACACCATAAACCCTAAACCCTAAACCCTAAACCCTAAACCCTAAACCCTAAACCCTAAACCCTAAACCCTAGAAAAATACTAAACCCTAAATAATAAGGGGGAAAAAATAAATAATAGGCAAATCATAAGGAATATACTTAATAATATAAATATAATAAGTATATTATAAATTATAAATATTAAGCAAAACCCTAAACCCCAAACCCTAAACCCTCAGAAAACTCTAAACCCTAAACCCTCAGCAATCCATGAAGAAAGAAAAAGTAATATATAACACAACCATAGAGTAGAAGTTGAGGTATCCACAAACCCTAAACCCTAAACCCTAAACCCTCAGAAAACCCTAAACCCTAAACCCTAAACCCTAAACCCTCAGAAAACCCTAAACCCTAAACCCTAAACCCTCAGAAAACCCCAAACCCTTAACCCTAAACCCTAGCTGACCAATAAGATGCCATTGAATATCTAGAGGTAATTCTTTAGATTTTTGTATTAATTCTTGGGGATAATTTTCCCCAAAATGGCGGATTCCTGCTGCAGCAGCAGCAGCAACAGCAGCAGCAGGATGTGTCTTGGATACAGCAATAAGAAGAGGTACTTTTATATCTTCTTCTCCTTCTCCTGCTGCTGCTGCTCCTGATGCTGCTGCTGCTGCTGCTGCTGCTTCTTTTATCTCCTGCTGCACTGCAGCAAGACGATCAGGAACATAGTCATAGCTAGAGGTAGTTGAATCACTCTGTTGACCTGCTGCTGCTGCTGCTGCTTCTGCTTCTGCTTCTGCTGCTGCTGCTGCTGCTGCTTCTGCTGCTGCTGCTGCTTCTGTTACTGCTCTTTCTACTGCTGCTGTTGCTGCTGCTGCTTCTGCTGTACTGGAGGGCATTGCTGCTCTTGCTGCTGCTAGCTGCTGCTGCTGCGAGGATATAAGAAGAAATAAGAAACAAGAAAGGGCGGAGACACCGGAGAAGGAAAACATTGCTGACCCTAAACCCTAAACCCTAAACCCTAAACCCTAAACCCTAAAAGTATTGTTAACTACAAGCCCAAGGGGGGGGAGGCGGCAGGCAGCAAGGAGATCGTTGGTGTCGGCGTCCGTCGTCTGTTGCTGCTGCTGCTGCTGCTATTGCTGCTGCTATTGCTGCTGCTATTGTTGCTGTTGCTGCTATTGCTCCTACGTTTATTAGTCTTGCTGCTGCTGCAACTATTATTATTGCTGCTTTATTTGCTGCTGCTGCTGCTGCTGCATGCATAAAAGGAGGATTTAGGAGACGCCCGAAGACAGCGACGACGACGGGAGGGGGGACCCAAGAGACCCTAGAGACCCTCCTAAACCCTAAACCCTAAACCCTAAACCCTAAACCCTAAACCCTAAAGCCTAGCCTCTTATAAAAAAAAAACCTAAACCCTAATAAGAAAATAAAATAAGTGTTTATTAAATAATAAAATACATTGTATAATTAAAATCCTTTATCCCCTACACACATATACACAGCAGCAATAACCCCTGCTGCTGCTGCTGCTGCTGCTGCTGCTGTTGGCGGCTGCCGCCGCGCTGCATGTGCGGCCCCCCCTGTGGAAGCCAGCAGCAGCAAGAGGAGCTGCTGCAACAGCAGCAGCAGCAGCAGCAGCAGCTCGGATTTTTGCTGTTTCCTATTTAAAGAAAATTGCATGCAGCGCTGCTTTGCTAAGATCAACAGGCGCTTGGATTGGCGTCAAGAGGTGCAGCAGCAGCAGCAGCAGCAGTAGTAGTAGTAGTCATAGTAGTAGTAGTAGCAGCAGCAGCAGCAGCAGCAGAGGGTGTCAGGCAGCAGCAAGAGGGTATTTTAATTTAATAGTTATTTATTTTTATTAGGGAAAGAAGAGAGAGTAGCTGTTGGTTGCATGCAGCACCGCTGCATTGCAAACCCTAAACCCTAAACCCTCATAAACCCTAATAAACCCTAAACCCTAAACCCTAATCGGCAATATATCAAGGAGATGGCGCGGAGTTACAACGCCAGAGGCCGTGGCGGCCAACTAGGTAAGACCCCATCATATATCTAAACCCTAAACCCTAAACCCTAAACCCTAATTCTTTTTCTCTCCTCCTTCCGTTTACCCTTATTCCCTCTCCCTATTCTTCTTACTCTTTTCTTTTTCCTCTCTTAAATTCTTCTTTATTTCTCTTCTTGGGGCCCCCAAGGGTACAGCAGCAGGGCACACAGATAGGGGGCCCCTAGGGGCCCCTCGTCTATCGTGTAAACCCTCCTCTCAACCAACCGAACCCTTTTTGGGGGGCCCCTCTAAGGCGTATATTGGGGGGCCCCCTTATGGTATATATCGAGGGGGCCCCTTAAAGGGATATATTGGGGGGCCCTCCGTAAGATGTATATTGAGGGGGCCCCTTCTAGGGATATATTGGAGGGGCCCCTTGGGGGCCCCCTCAGTATATCCTTATTATGACGGGTGTAGAGCTGTGGCTGGGCGGCTGTAGAGGGGGCCCCCCTGGGTCTTTTAGGGGCCCCCTTTAATGTTGTGGGCCCCCTCCTTGATCCTGTAGGGGCCCCCTTTAATCTTGTGGGGCCCCCCATGGTATTATGGGGGGCCCCCCTCTGTATTATTGGTGTCCTTTTGTTTAAGTTCCTTTGTCTATCCCGAGATACCGCAAAATTAGGGTTTAGGGTTTATGCCTAGGGTTTAGGGTTTAGGGTTTAGGGTTTAGGGTTTGTGTACAGGCCGTGTATCCGGTTACCGGGGAAGGGGAAGAGGAAAGGCGTTATGGTGGGGTCGTCCTTCTTATAATACAAGAGGTGTATATACACCAAGAAATAGGTAATTTATTTATTTATTTATTTTATTTATTTATTTTATTTATTTTATTTATTTATTCTTATTTATATTTGTATTTAACTAGGGGTTATCTATTTGTTGTTATTATTGTCTTCTTATTGATTATTTTTTTCTTTATTATTTTTTATTTTTTTTATTTCCTCCCCATTTTAGGGTTTAGGGTTTAGGGTTTAGGGTTTACGGTTTAGGGTTTAGGGTTTAGGGTTTGTGTGTTGTGTATAGATACGGGTCAATGTCGCGTGGTGGTGGTTTAGGTCGTGCGATGGCTCGTCGTAGCGGTCGTCAGCAGCAGCAGCAGCAGCAGCAGAATCAGCAGCAGCAGCAGCAGCAGAATCGTTTTAATAGGGGTACAAGAGGAGGAAGAGGGTTTAGGGGTAGAAGAGGGGGGGGCCCCAGGGGCCCCCCTCAGCAGACAGCTGAGGGTCTAGATGCAGAGCTCGAGGCCTACATGGGGGAGGAGGCAGTAAAGGAGAGACTAGATAGGGATTTAGAGTCCTATTTTAATTCTGCTGCTGCTGCTGTGCAGCAGCAGCAGCAGAATCCTGCTGCTGCAGGTGCTGCAGCAGGAGCTGCAGCAGGTGCTGCTGCTGGTGCTGCAGCAACAGCAGCTACAGCAGCAGCAGGTAATGCTGCTGTTGGTAATGCTGACGCAGGACCCAGTAAGTTACCTACTATTGTTGCTGCTGCTGCACCTGCTGCTGCTACTATACCTGCTTCATCTGCTGCACCTGCTGTTGCTACTGCACTTGCTGCTGCTGCTGCTTCTGTTGCTGCTGCTGCTGCTGCATGCATGCATGCATGCATGTGTTGTGTCTTGTTGCGTTGCGCAGGCGCAATGGAAGTCACAATGGAGAATTCCGCCCTCTAAATTGCTGCAGTTGCTGCAGCGCCTGCTGCAGCAGCAGCAGCAGCAACATAAGCAGCAGCAGCAACATAAGCAGCAGCAGCAGCAACAGAAGCAGCAGCAACAGCAGCAGCAGCAGCAACAAGTTGCCTTTTAGTTGCTGCTGCTGCTGGGAAGAGGGAGTAAGGGGACACGAGACCCCCTGGCTTGTACAGGCCATCAAGACCCCCAGCAGCAGCAGCAGCAGCAGATATCAGCAGCAACAGCAGCAGCACCTACTGCAGCAGCAACAACAACAACACCAACAGCTACTGCAGCAGCAGCTGCAGCTGCTGAAGCAGCTACAATAGCAGTAGCATTATCAGTAGCAGCAGCAGCAAGAGCAGCAGCAGCAGCAGCAGCAGCATTGCTTTCTTGCCCTTATAAGAGGAGGGTGTGGGGCCCCCCACCTCATTAAGGATTCGTTTTGTTGTCTGTGGGGCCCCTCCCTAATGCGGTGTTATTAGGGTATAGGGGGGCCCCCTTATTGTGGGGCCCCCTACCGAGGAGGCCCCCCTAAACAATGGGGGCCCCCCATTAACAACTTGGTGGGGGGCCCCCAGGGGGTCCCCTTTATTAATTATATTTAGGGGGGGGGCCCCCTTGTATTAATGGCATCCTCTTTTAGTTATTTACTTCTTATGAGGTGCCTATACACCGCAACTTGCAGTTGCAGCTCCTTTAGATGCCGTTTAATTATTAGCAGCAGCAGCAGCAGCAACAGCAGCAGCAGCAGCAGCAGCAGCAGCAGCAAGTGGTGCTGCAGTTGTATTAGGATAACCAGTAGCAGGATATAAGCAGAAGGAGCAGCAGTAGCAGCAGGGCTAATAGAAGCAGCAGATGCATTAGCAGCTGCTGCAGCAGCAGCTGCAGCAGCAGCAGTAGATACATTAGTAACAGAGCTAACAGCTGTAGCAGCAATAGCAGCAGCAGATGCATTAGCAGCAACAGCAACAGCAGCAGCAGCAGCAGCAGGTAATGTTTTAATAGAATAAAGAGGAGACAAATAATTAATTAATGAGTACCCCTAAGGTGCTACAGCAGCAGCAGCTCCTGCTGCTGCTGCTGCTGCTGCTGCTAGGGTGATGGTGCCTACGTGCTACATAAGTTTTATTGTTATAAATAAATAAATAAAAATAAATAATAAATATAAATAAATAGAAGAAAGAATAAGTATAAATATAAATAAATATAAATAAAAAAATAATAAAGAATAGTTTATTGTTGCTGCTGTATAAGACTTAATTGTAAGGAATACAGCAGCAGATCTAACTGCAGCAGCAGCAGCAGCAGCTAGAACCGCAACAATAGCAGCAACAGCAGCAGGAAGAGAAACAGCAGCAGCAACAGCAGTCGCAGCAACGACAATCACAGCAAGAGCAGCAACAGCAAGAGCAGCAACAGCAACAGCAGCAGCAGCAACAACAACAACAGCAGGTACAACTGCAACAGCAGCAGCAAGAGCAGCAACACGATTTGTATGTGGGGTCTTATTGTTCTTCTTTTTCTCCCTTCTTTCTCTGCTGTGCATACACCTCAATTTATTACATTTAAAATATTTATTTACTCTTATCTGTACCCTTTTTCTTCCTGCTGCTGCTGCTGCCGCTGCTGCTGCTTCTTTCTTTCTACGGTGGGGGCCCCCCATATATGTCGATGGGGCCCCCTGGTGACCCCCAGAGAGAGGGGGGCCCCCATGGGTACTAGGAGGAAATTAAGTCGTTAATTAATAAAAATATAAACAATAAATAAATGTTTAATTATAAAAAGGATAATTTATTTAAAGACAGCTGCTGCTGCTGCTGCTGCTGTTGCTGCTGTTGCTGCTGCTGCCCAGGGGGCCCCCCCAAGACTATCGACAGAGGGTACTACACGCGGTGGGGGGCCCCCGTGCGCATACGCGGCTCGTTCCTCCTTTGTTTATTTCTTTTTTCTTTATAATATTTTAATTTAATATAAATAAAATAAATAAATATATAAATAAATAAATATATAAATGAATTAATAAAGAAGGAGGCCCCCCCCCTCCTTCCTTATATAGCAGCAGCAAACCCTAAGAAATTGCTCCTTAAGAAATGCTCACTAGGGTTTAGGGTTTAGGGTTTAGGGTTTAGGGGGATGGTGCTAAGGAACTCCTTTGCCCCCCTCTTAGGTGGGGCCCCAAGGAAGACCCCCAGCAGCTGTAGCAGCAGCAGCAGAATTCTTCCTGCAGCTACGAACACAGCAGCAGCAGCAGCAGCAGCAGCAGCACCAGCGGCAGCAGTTGCTGCTGCTGCAGCTACTCCTGCTGCTGCTGGTGGTTTTGCTGCTGCTGCCTCGCCTTCTCTCCTGCTGCAGCATCCTTCGTTGCACTTCGCTTGTCTACCGCTGCAGCAGCAACAACAGCATCATCAACCGCAGCAGCAACAACAGCAGCAGCAACAGCAGCAGCAGCAACAACAGCACCGCCTATTGCTGCAGCACCACCTACATCAGCATCACCTACAGCAGCAGCAGCAGCAGCAGCAGCGTAACTTTTCCTTTATACAGCAGCACCGAGTAAAGAAAGATTTATCTAGTAGTTTTGCTGCAGTAGGTAGTCTATCTGCTGCTGCTATTTGCTGCTGCATGCGAGCAGCAGCAGCAAAGGGTTTACAATCCGGAGGGTTTTGGCGGCAAATAGACAGAAGAATACTTTTTCTTGCTAATAATCTTTCTGCTGCTGCTGCTGCTGCTGCTGCTGCTGCACTTGCTGCTGCACAACATTATAATCCCCAAGTACTACAAAGAATTGAA